GTTAGTACGGTTATCATATCGTGGATTTGATATATATATCAAATTTTGGATTACTTGAGTTTCACTTGACAAAAATTATGGGATAAAAATTAATTGTAACAAGATGATTGGCTATCGCTAATCACCACCCTTGTACAAAAATGCAAATCACACGTAAATACCAATGCGTAATACATGTAGCGGTAGTACATATAGTACATGTTCATATAACAATAAAGCGTGACTTGGACAAGTCTGATTGGTTGGTTATGTCATTATTTACACCTACCGCTATTCGCGACTTGTTTTCTTTTATTTTTTTTTGCTGCTGACTTTGTCCCGTTATCCTTTCCTTTGACTTTTCTCGCTTGCACCTTTGTGGTAGTATATCCACACTTCTTTCTTGCTAGTACTATTTACACTCAGTGAGAGATGTTTTGCGAGTTGATTCTTTAGTCGAAGTTTCTTCTCTGACTTTTTACTTGTTCTTTTAAAGTAAAAACTGGAGTCGTTGTTTTGCTGTTGATTTTTTTTCCCAAATTGTATATAAAAAAATAAGAAATCACCTTCTAATACACCTTTACCTGGGGCAGTGATCTAAGAAATCATAAAAAAAAATAAAAAGCAATCACCTCCGTGGTGGTAGTGTATCCACTCTCGTGGTAACACTCCTTTACTCGGGGCAGTGAATCTAAAAAATCAAAAAATAAAAGCAATCACCTTTACCTTTGCGGTAGTGCATCCATCCAATTTAGTGGTAATGCACCTTTACCCGGGGCAGTGAATCTAAAAAATCATAAAAAATAAAAGCAATCACCTTTGCGGTAGTGCATCCATCTGCTAGCTGATACGTACGACGGTGATCAATGCTTTGTACCTTTGATGCAAACGAGCGGTATGGCAAAATCACTGCTACTGAAGAAAATTTAAAATGAAGTTTTTGTGGTGTACTCCTGCTTCTGCAAGAGTTCCGCTGGAGGTGGTTTTCCGGAGCATTCTGCCTATGCTGGTGATGCTTTAGAAAAACAACCACCATAAATCCTAGCCTTCGGTGAACAGCGTGCTTGTGCGCCTGCTTGCAAACGTTAAGCGAAACTCAAACGAAACATAGAGCCAACAGTATCTCAGTTTCTCTGTAAATTAATGAAGATGATGTGCAGCTGATAATAAAAGACGAACTCAGGAAGCACTATAACTTTATTAAGAAGCGCAGGGAACAACTTTATCAGATTCCAGTCAAACTAAAATTGATCTTCACATTCGATGAGGCACGGTTCTTGCTCTGGAGAAAAATCGATAGATTATTATTACTGCTTCGGATCACTATTACTTTGTGTGCGCTTACTGAGGTGCAAAATAAACATTAACGTGTATTTTCAGTCATAATAGACACGACGGGGGAAGCTTTTAAATTTTGTTTCACAAGTTAAGCATGATCCTTCTTTACAAGTTCAGCATAATCCTTCTTTACAAGTTCAGCATAGAAATCTTAAGTTGTATCCCCCGTGTTATCCCCTCGATCCGTTCGACATTCACATCCGTGAGGTTGATTTGGAGCCGGGCACCTTGAATGAAACCGCAAAGTATGACTATTTTTCT